GAAATGTGAGAACTGTTCTGTATACTTGAAACTCCAATGTTATGGCTGTTTTCATGTAGTTTTTTCCTCCTCTGGACTGTAATTTGGAAGAGTTGACTGGTGCTGTATAATCAAGAATCACTCCTCCAGCTCTGATATATCATGACTTCTGGATTTCCATAAAGCCAGTGTTTAACAGCACATGACAATATTATCCACAAGTTTGTTATAACATTCCTGGCAGCTATATTAATGGCAATTACCCACGGATAATTTTAGTGGCTGACTAAAAGAATGGTGCAATCCTGAAAAAGAAAGGCCTTCTTTGAGTAGCAATTATACACATAACCTATTCAATTAGCTAGTAATAGATTATTTTTTTAGACATGCATATATGTCACATGTATTTTTAATGACCTAGACATTATTTTTCACTAATTATATTTTAGATAGATCATAAAAGATTTTGCCCCTTTGTGACACAGTCTGTTTCCCCCCTTTTCCTTATGAAATTAAGCTCTCATTTTATAATCCACAGTAAGATCAAGTATCGCATTCTCTTAACACTCCATTAGCCTGGTGAACCCTTCCACATATATCAGAACAGTTACACTGGGCTACGGAATACGCAAACATGATCATTTACAAATAAAATAGCATTAGTTGCAACCATGAATTAATAATGGAAATCCTAGACTCTTTTACCTTCACTGCCACCAAGATCTTGTCCTGCTCAGGACAGAGGTTATAGCATTCCGCCAGAAAGACTTTCCCAAAGGCTCCTTCTCCCAGTTCTCTTTTAAGAACGATATTGTGGCGCTTGATGTGCTGCACAACTGTGAAGAGAAGACAAAACAGAGGTCAGAAGTGAGCTACAAGGCCAGGATGGGTCGGGGTCCATGCCTACAGCCCCATGGAGACAGGTGCCTGTTGTGGAAGGAATCAAAGTCCCCATGTGTCATTCGTTAGTGCTTTGTCCAAAAAGACCAAGTTAATACATTTATATTTGGAGAGTAGCATGTTTGCTGGATAAGAAGACATGGAACTAAGAGTTACCTGGGAAAAGGCCATGTATCATCATGTTACGATGACTGCTACACATCAACAGCCAATGCTGTTTTTTTTTAAACATGAAGACAAAGAATCAGAAAACAAACCAAATCTTTCTCACACGACTTCTATTTTTGTCCGTTTAAAAATAGCTGAACTCTCTTGTCCAAAGCCAGGAAGTTTTAAAATTAACCTAATCAAAGGAAAAAATATGTGCCCTCTTTCAATTAAATCCAGCTTACTCTGGTTCTCTTACCACTTGTTCAACTGCTTTCCCTCTCTGTGCCATACTACATTTACAATAAGATAGAAATTTCATTCTCACAAGCCTGATTTACAGTATTGCTCTGAAGTAAAAGAAATAAAAGACGGACAAAGGTTTTAGAGAGCATAGTGGACAGAGCCTTAGTTGAATTGCTGCCCAGAATCAATTGATTCAGACATTAAAGTCCTTGAGCATTTTTGTTCAACTCATTTTACATTTTCCTTTCAGCACAAGCTTCCATTAAAATATTTAATATTTAAAAGACTGTACCAAATTTTGTAGAATACATGATCAATTTGCAATGCTCAAGCTAAATAGAGCAGCTGTAAGGGCAGTTTAACTGGCCAACTCAACAGGGTTGACAGCTTGTGTTGCTGAAATTGTACAAAACCGTCAGTATCTACTGCTGAATTTAACCTTGGTGCATTTAGCTGCTATTGCAAACACTGAAGTTTAACCCTGCCATGACAAAGCCTATTTGCAACTTAAATCCTAAACACAGTGAAGTAAACGGTGGTGCACAGGCATCAGGCCAGCTTCTGCAAAGGCATGAATCTCACCTCAGCTGCCCAACTGCAGGGACCAGGACTGAACCGTGCCAATAATTCAGGATATATTCAGATGCAGATCAACCCCTGCCTCCATGCTTGGCCACATGTCTGTTCCAAACCAGGTGATGACTTACACAGAAACCACCTTGCCTCCATTACTAAACATGGAAAACAGTGCTGCTCCTAACAGCAGTGAGGAGAAATGGCACAGCCTGTCCCCATTGCTGTCACCAGCATCTGGAGAAAGGGCACACGGTCTACAAGAGCAAAACATGTGTGTCCCACACCCTGAGCCTACAGGGATGTAACTCGAGTCCACTGCCTATAAATGTGCATCGTATCCATGTGCATGCATGGGGGGCAGGGTAGAGCCCGGTGCTGGAGCAAGCCAGGAGAGCGAGAGATGTCCCCAGGTGCCTCCATCATGCGTCTGCTAGGTGGGCAGCGCGCCTGAGGAGCAGACCTCCACCAGACCCAGCTGGAACATGCCAGAAACCCCCAGGCCGACAGGCAAACAGGTCCACCGTGCCCTGGGAGCAGAGTGAGGGAAGCCAGCTTCTCCCCATGCCATACTGGACCCACCTGGCCTTGCTCCCATCCCCGAAGCTGGCAGCTGCAGGGGACACTTCCCACCCCCTCCACCGACAACCGGCATCCCGGCAAAGGCCATGCATCCCACTAACAGCTGAGTACACATGAAACGAGACTGCAAGGTAACAACGTTTTTCATTCTTGTCACACTCTGGTCTAGCCTAAGGTTAAGTTTTATCATGGTGATGCATGGATATGGTACGCTTTGTTTGGCCAGCTACCCAAGCAGCTCCCCTGCAGTCAGTAGGAATTTGCTTTTTATTTTCCTGTTCTCCTCAGCACTGGCTTTTAAAGTAAAGCACAAAACGCGGTCAGCACAAGACAAGCCTGAACCAAAACACACCTCTCCTCCACAGACGCAAGCTAACCAGCATCCCTTGCCTCTGCCAACACCGGTCACCAGGCAGACACGCTGGGAGTGCCACTGCCCTGGCACGCTGTTGGAGCACGGGAGTGCGGCACGCATCGTGACCCATGCTTTAACGAATGCTTACTGATAAATGAGTACTCCTTTCTACCCCCTGCCAAACCCACCATGCAGCCCTGCCTCTTGGGGAATTCTTCTGTTTCCCACTGCTTGACCAGTATCACCAGCAGAATGCCTCTCTTCCTTTCCTAGAGAGAGAAGTTCAGCTCCATGTTACCAGTGTCACCATTTTAAAATGTCCACAAAGCCCACAGACAGGGAGTAGGGTGGAGATACCATCCTGCTGGTGTCAGCAGCAAAACTCCAGCAGACATATCTTTTCCCTTGGTTCTCTCCGCAGCTGCCAAAGACCTGGTGATGAACACAGTCAACTTTCTGATTTTTGTAAGGGTCCTCTCCACTTTGAACCCAGCACACCCCCAATGCTGGTCCTAGCAGTACGGAGGACTTCACAAACAACAGGGTAAAAATAAATAAGAAACATATCAACAACTACTCTGTAGTGCACTTAGAGCTGCTGCTAAATGTTCTTATATAAACCAAGCATTTGAATAAACAACCCACTCCATAAACCAAACTGTTAAAACTGAAATGCAGCAAGCCGTAGAAGAGATCTGCACAGAATATATTTGTAACTTGTCACGCTCTTTCCATCCCTGTTACCTTGCTGAGCTGCACCGAGTCACTAAACAAATAAAAAATGACAGTAAATGTGACTAAATGGGCAGAGATTAAATATAAGAACAATGTAAGTAAATCAAACACATATGATGTGATGGAAATATGAGCTAAGGAAAAAGTCCGTTTAGAACACTCAGGGCCCCAGCCATAATGACACCATCTTCAGTGGGAGGAGATTTCAGCAGACACTGAAAAATTCAGGTCAAAATCTGCTTTCAGTTAGTATCAGGATAAAGCCAATTATCTCTGTTGAAGTCCAAGAGATTATGCTGGATTTACATGGAAGAAACAAAGTAGAATTTGGCCAAAAAGGTGGCATAACTGAATTACCAAAGAAGTGGCCTCATAACATTGTCTCATAGACAAAGATACATAAACATTCGAAGAGTGGCTATGTATTTTCCTCCTTTTGACTCTAAATGCTGATTGCCTTTGAACTGCCATTTGTACTTTTAAAAGCACATCATTCCTGGTTCAAAAGATCTTGTCTGATTACTGTAAAAAAACCCTTACATTAAGCTACAAGCTAAGTCACATTGAAATACTGAAGAGAAAAATGAAACAAAATATGAAGTGAGACCATGCAAACTAAACAAGCCAAAAAGAGGCTTTGGTGTTAAATAATAACCACACCGTCATGCCCATAGGAGCAGGGGGCTCCCACAGACGGCTGCAGGGAAACGGCTGGCAACAGGAAGCACGACTGCAGAAAAGGGCCCTCTTCTCATTTCAAGGTCTGAGAGACATCTCACCAACAGAGCTGGACTTCTAGGTATTTCACTCACTAACAGCATGTTGCACTGGAAGTGACGCATCAAAGCCTTATCCTGCAAACACCATCTGCAGGCATGGGATTGCACTCCCCAGGTAACCTACCTTTGATGGTAAGGCTGAAGAGAGAGTCACACCATGTTCTGGAGTGGGTCCCAGCAAAACAGGCAACTCGGGATCACCTCACCACATTGAATTCACTGAGTTGGATGTGACTGATTCCAGCCACGCACAGCAGGACGCTCAGCAGTATAAACTATTAAAATGTTTCTGCATGTAATTAAAAGGTGAAATGCTATGGCAGAGTGAAAGTGTCTTCCCCTTGGTCACAAACAACAAGTCTGAAAATTTTACCACCACATGTGACCATTACACCACCTAAGCTGACCTTTTACCCAGCACGCAGCATAGTACTGAGTTAAATGACTTATGCTTGGCAGGAGACTGCCTCCAGAAAGCAGCTGTGCTAGTCTTGATTTGAAAATCTGATCTGTTCACTTGCCCTAATGTGGAATCATTTTCATTGTTGATAAAAATGTATGCCTTTTTCTTTGGCTCTTAATTTCTAGCTTGTCTGGCTTGCATCTCCCTTGGGTTTTAGGAGACTTTCTCTGCTAGCTTGAGCAGCCTTTAAGGTCTGGTATTAAATATACATAATCAACACTGTTCTTGCTCTTCTTGGCGAGGCAAAGAGATGGAAGTCCCTCCCAGGAAAACATTTTCTCCAGTTCGCCAGTCATTTTCATGGCTCTTCTCTGGAAAAAAATTTCAACAACCTTTTAAAAGAAGATGTTTCCAGTTGTTTTTCCCAACTGGAAGATACATTCTTGTATCACTCTCCACAAGGTTGTGATAAAACCATAAAATCAGCTCCCTACATCTCTGCATGTCCAAAGATCACACTAGTCCTTTTAAGGCTGCGTTTCCTAAAGAGCACAAACATTCCAGTTAAGTGGTATGCATGAGCGTGTCTCATCTTGAATACCTCACCCAACTACAATATCATAAGTGCTGCAAGTTTCAGTTGTGTTCCCATGTGCCTTATGAGAACAGAGGAGAGATCTGTCCTTACAGAGGGGCTGCAACGAGGACTCACTGCTTGACGGACAGTTAAGAGCCATAGCAGACAGGCTCCATCATCACTGCTCACTGAACTACCAACACTAGAAGATCCTGTTGTGTTGCATGCCCACTTAAATCATCTGCTGAGTCTGCTTTCTAGGATACTGTTCAAAATTTTGCTAGCGGTACACTCCTGATGAAATGTCAGGACTTTGAGGAGAATTATGATCTTCAAGGTGTCAAGTAACCAGGCAAGGTAATGTTATAAACATATTTACAGTTGCATAAGAAAAAAAGCAGCAGCAGAAAAGACTCAGCTTGTGATGTGACATGAGGTACTACAGACATTTTGCAAGTTTCTTCATTTCCTCTCCCACTGTTTCTCTTGTAATTGTGAAGACTCAACTATTTCTAAGATCTTCCTAGAAAAGACAGGTG